GAAGGAGGTGGGGGGGGGGGGGGGGGGGTCTTACAACACAGATGGGTAGGAGTTACTCATGTGGACATACTGTAGGTACAGGGCTCTGATCACTGGCCTCCATGGGTCCTGAGAGGTTAATCAAAATGCCAAATGTTACTTTGCACCGTGGCGGAGAGCTATACTGAGAGCGTCCTGCACAAGACACCATCCGACATGAGAAACTGAATCATTCACGCAACCGAATAGCCGTACCGTTTATAGCAGGCACGGAGATATGAATGCATGCAAAGGTTGGAGCTACTTTTTCCGACTTAAAAAAGGACAAAACGTACACATAAAACAATTTAAAAAACTCTTCTACTCTGTGTGTGCAGTGGCAACAGCAGTTTCTGCCTTAATCATTATGGTAACAGCCTAATTCTGGATGCGGGGTTCGTTGAATGTGTGTGGGCGCATGTGTCCTGCAGAGCGTGTGTGTGTGTGTGTGTGTGTGTGTGTGTGTGAGTGAGAGAGAGAGACAAATGGTGACAGATATAAAGAGAGAGGAAGAGAATGAACACCACAGACAGAGACACAGACAGAAAGGGAGGACGGGGGTCCACCTGTTTGACACAGAGAGCCTGAGAAAGTGCAGAGGAATGAGCAGAATGCCAGTGTGTGCGTGTGTCCATTAGGTTAAGGTCCACACAGTGCAAATGTGTGTGTGTGTCATCCAACTGATAATACTATGAAAGCACTGGAGAATGGCATTCAGAGAACGGTATGCAGAAAAGCAGCTGATGGGAGAATCATACATGTCACGCACAGACTTTTAAAATCATTTGGCCAATAAAAAGTTCTGAGAAAGATGATCATACACACACGTTAGATATAGAGTGACGCTTCCAGTATGGCAACACCAGCTGTGTGCTGTGATGTCCAAACAAACAGTGAGTTAATGTCCAAAGGTCCCCTATAAGCTGCTTCTCTCTCTCTGTGTGTGTGTGTGTGTGTGTGTGTGTGTGTGTGTGTGTGTGTGTGT